ATATCCTTGTATTGCAGCTGTGTTCCCCCCGGGGCAATTTCCCTGCACTAATTCTCCATACAAGAGATATTTTGGAATCCGACCGTCAGCCTTTCCCACAACATGCCCAAACCTATGTAGATGTCACTGTTTCAGTAATGTACACACGCTAAAATTTCCAGCTCATTCTAAAACTACTCTTGGGAAGGATGAGGTCAGGTCCGTTAGCACATGCTACCCCATCCAACAGTTGTATACTTATTGATCTTTGCCTTAATACTGCCTGTTAATGTTGTAAGATGCCTCCTTGTTCATTGTTCACCGTCTGTATACTCATTGTTTTCAACTTTAATATTGTCTTTGGGTCCTTTTTCAAGGAGAAAGGAGGGGTAAAATATTTTAAATAAGTAAGTCAGAAGTCTCTTGATGGTGCATAACGAAACAATTTCAGAGGAGCGGAACTCCATAGATTGGAAAGAAAATATGTCTTATTCAGCGCAGGTAGCAAGCAGCTTTTCCACAGGAGAGTGGGTGGAAGCAGAAGAAAGGAAATGGAGGGTGACAACTGTGAAGAATGCAGACCTTGACAACAGCAAAATCTGCACAACAAAACACCCTTGCCCCCCGGAAATACGAAAGGCTCTCCTCCTCCTCTGTGCTGTCCCCCAACTGCTGGATGGGGTAGCATGTGCTACGGGGCCTGACCTCATCCTTCCTTAATGGATTTTGCTCCAATTAGATGCAATTTACCCGAATCTTTCATTCATTGTGGCGATTCTGCAGAACTTTCTTGTTCACGTTGCCCAGGGAAACAGCCGAGTTAGTCACAAGTGGTCCAACTGTTGCCAGTGACAACCCAGGAGCCTAATTGCTCCTGAAAACAAGAGGCACGTGTAGTTCCCATTACATCCTGAAAAAAAGAAGTTAAAGTGATGCAGACTTTGCTTACTCCTCCTCTTCAACATGCTGGCCTTGTGTGAAGAGGAAGGAAGGAGACACTTGGCAAAGGATCCATTGCAAAGGATATCTTCTGCTTGCCTGACTGAGCTTCCAGAGGTCAACCGAGGTAGCTGCGCTGAGCCATAGGTAGCTGTGGCTTGTGCAAGCCTTTCCTGGACCTGCAGTGCAGCCACTTTTCTCTGCTATACTCTCTGTTTTGCCTTGTCTGTAGTCATTAGTGTGTGCTGCATGGAATTCTGGGTGAAGGCAAATCTTTAAGCAAACCACGGATTCTTCTCCAAGAAGGCATGTCGTGATCTGCTGCTTGCTGTGAGAGATCCTCTTCTGGGCCCCTTTGAACCTCCAGGCCGGAAACAGGCAAAGGCAGTATTAAAGTGAGAAGCAATCCTTGGAGCTTCAAGAGGGATATAGATGAGCTCAGTCCCTCTTTAGGAGGGAGAACAGATGAGCTGTCAGCTTAGCAACGTAAACCTCTTAAAATGGAGGCTGCATTGAATGAATTAGTACAAAGGATAACTCTATCATTCAGGAAAGAAAAATCCTGCTTGGAACTAGACAGCACTTGTGGATGTGAGCTGCAAACTCCTTTGGGGCTAGCCAGACAGATGTAGTTTGCTTTCTGGAACCTTCAACACAGGATCTAGCTTTTAATGTTGCTTATACCCAGGTGCTAGAATGGGAAACCGATGGATAGACACGATGACTCTCGATCTGTTTCACCTTCAAATCCTAACCACTCCTCAGAGAAAATATTAAACTATTTCATCCAAAATTCTCTTGCCCCCAAAAGGTGGTTAAGAGAATTTTGGAGTGCCTGAGTCAAACTAGTTGAAATACTGAAGACTGTAATCAGGTATCCTGTATTTTTACAATTCTTTTAAGATATGTTGAAAGCAGGGTGGGTTGCAGAGAGACTGAGGCAGAAGGAAGATTAACCCTCACTCTTCCCACCCTGCGCAAAATTGCACTCTCCCACCGCAAGTGTGAGGTTTTATTTCGGGAAAGTAGGATTAATATATTGAAAGCAGGTGCAGTTACATAAATGGTGTGGCTACACTACATGCTTGTAGTATTTGAAACCACTTTGACTTTCATGGCTCCATTCTGAGGAATTCTGCTATCTGTACTTCAGTGGCTTGTGACTGAAAGAGAGGGAGTTGCCCCTCTGAAGTTCTGGGTGAGCTGCTCTAGATCCATAATTTGATGAAATACTCAAGAATTCCCTTGTGTAGTTCAGTGGAGGGTAATAGTGCTCACTAGCTCAGAATTCTGGGTTTGTTATGAAACTACAAATCCTAGAATTCTGCAGGATGACCCACGGCAATGAAAGTAATATAAAATACCATATGTAAATCTGATTGAATCAGGCCTCCATAGGGTCGAAATGACTAGATAGGCGGGGTATAAATACAATAAATAAATAAATAAAAAAATAAAAATAGAATCGGGGGGGCAGTTTCTGCAGCATAAGAGCATTTCTTGTTTCATTCTGCTATGATGTATCATGTTCCGCTTGTGTCAGCTAACTGCAATAAAACTTTTAAAGGCACAAGTGAGTTCCTGACGCAAAGAAGGAAAGCACGCTGGGGTTCTGGTTGCTCTGAAACCATAGGCCAGCACAATCTACAAGGAAAGTGTGACATTACCAATGTGGATGCAGCTCCAGGATGCTTCAGTGTACAAGAGTTAGACATGCTCTGAATTCCAGGCCCTGGAAGGCATCTGGACAGATGTGGGCAACTCTTTTTCTGTCGAGAGCCACATTCCCTCAAAGGTCATGTCCTGGACCACATACATACAGGTAGCAGGCATACCAGAGGTGAAGCAGGTGGCTGCCTCTAGTGCTTTCTGGCCCTCTTCCTTCCGGCTCAGAGGGCCCCCAGGTCGCTCTTCCCAGAAGTCTCAACAGATCACTTGTAGAAGGCCCTTGACATTAGGCTGCCATACAAAAAACCAGGGTTTAGGCACAACAAGTCTTGTTAGCAACTAGTCTTATCTCCAAAAGGAAGCAGTAGAAGAATCCTTCCTGCTCATGGACTCCCTCCAGGCACCGCTCTGCACAATATTTCATCTATATTGGCTCTTCTCCTCTGCCGTAGAACTTGATCAAACCAAGGCACCTAGCTAGCTCATTTTAACTAAGGTTACACATCAATGTTATTGGTTTTTTTAAACTGCTCCATGGTTCATTTTACCACTGTACTGATTATTTGACCTTCATTGTGTCTGTGTGTACATTGTGTGTGGGTCTGTGGGTGCTGTCTTAGCTGCCAGGTTGGTTACCAGCATGGTGGATCTTCTCCCATCTCTTGTTGCCTAGATTAGTTCTTCTTCATTAAGACCCAGCCAGTCTTGGATGTTACTCATTCCAGAAATCTGTCTTCTGCCTCACTATTCTGCCGCTTTATTCTTTCCCCTCTGTTCTGAGGGGAGCCTCACATCCAGGCCACAGACAATTTCTCAAGCCTCTCCTGGCAACTGCATGGAGCGCCCGCTCTGCCACCCTCGCTGAGAGACCAGGCCTGGGCGAGGCCGAGGGCGACTCCAGCTGGCCCTGCAGGAGAAAGAAGGAGCCATTTCCCTCAGAAGGACGGAGGCAGGCAGGCAGGCAGGCAGGCGGGCGATCCATCCCCTCCCAGGAGGCCGCGGCCTGCAGAGGACCCCAACGTCCTTCTTGGAGGCGGCCACCAGAAAAAGTAACTTTTCCTTGTCTCTCAGCACGACCTGTTACTCCACTGAGAGACGCCTTTGCTTCTCAGGGAACTGAGACGTCATCACCCACAGCCCGTCAACCCCCCCCACGTGACGTCACGAGCCCGCGCAGTGACGTCGCCGGCGCCCTCCGGCAGCCCTGCTGAGCGACAGCTCTTCCTCCCGCTTCTCTCTCAATATGGCGCCGCCTGAAGTATGAGCGAGAGGAGAGACGAAGCTGAAGGAGAGGAGGTTGTTTGTCCCTCGAAGCGCACCGTAAGAGATTGAGGCAAAGCACACTCACCCCGAGAGAAGGGGATTGGATGAACACGAACACCAATCTTGCGCGGGCGGGACTTCCGCTAACCGGGGACGTCGATTGGCTGTATCGGAGAGGCCGGGCGGGCGGAAGGAGGGGGTTGCGCAGGCGCGCTGTGGGGAGGGGTGGTCTGCGAGGGGGGGAGGGGCGCGCCCGCCGGAGAGAGAGCGAGAGAGAGAGAGAGGGAAAGAGGGAAGAAAGCCGCAGGGAGTTCCCTCTGTGCTCCAGAACGGTCCTTTGGCTTTCTTGATTTTTGGCTTGTTTTAGAAGGGAGCGACCACCATCGAGGCGCGTAGTGATGGAGGCGCGCGGGGAGCCGCAGTCGCCGCCAGCGTGAGTGTGGGAGAGGCGGAGGCCGTCGCCCATCCCGGCCTTCGGAGCCCCCCCCCCTTTCCTCGCCCGGCCGCCTCGGAGGGAGGCCTCTCCGCCGGGGCCTCGTCGTGAAGCGCTGGCCGCCTCTGGGGAAGCACCTGAGGGGAAGCGCCGCCCGGGAGGCAAGGGCCCTCCTCCGCCCGCCCGCCCGCCCTTAGTGCTGGGCGGCCGTTCCCATGGCGACCGCCCGGGCCTCTCGGAGGGCCTTGGCCGGCCCGGAAAGAGGGAGAAGGCGGCGAAGGCCCCTC